CTGTATAGAAATTTAAACATAGATTCCTGGCCAGTGCCTAGGTTGTATGCCCTAGTGCAAGCCGGGCACTACAGCCTCATCAGCTAATGTTAGGTTGGAAATCTGTGTAGTCACAGGGAACACTTGTCTTCATTTAGTGCCGAAAGAGTGACAGTTTCACTTAAAAGTGGTTTTGAATCTGGCATATGGCAGGCAATGTACTTGACATATATTATATAGCTTTCCATCCTAAAAATAGTGTGTTCAAATGTCTCACTTCATTCTCCATATGTACATTCAAAGAAATTTCAACTATCCTGACACTAACTGTGCATTTTTTCAGATACATCAAATTTTACCTCCATTTTTAAAATGTTGCCCTTTTTCATTTGCCTTCTGAAGTTGTCAATTTCTCAAATCCAAAGGCGAAACCGTCAATATGACATATAGCTGAAATGTTATCCTTAGATAAATGTAGTATTTTTTTTTTAATTTTGCACTGCTGAAAAACATACTTTTAAAGACAAGGGCAAACAAAAAACTTATTTAGTTCAAAAGCCAAGTAGTTTACAGATAATTAGCCAAGAAAAATAGCAGTTCAGTACAATAACTACTATGTAGGTAACTCTTATTACTCTTGTTTATGTAATATTCAACTCTCCACATGCACTTCTACATAGCACATTTAATGTGAAATACATCACTGTGAATATAATAAAACACCCATAATATCTAAAATATGACAATTTATAAAAACGACATTAACAAAGATTCTGTTAAGTGTCTAGGTGTCTGTTCCGTTCAACCACATTTTCATGATAAGGTGTATGTTATCTTAAAGAAAGAATTTTAACCTCGGTTGTTATAAATAAGTACTAAATTACTGCGGATAGGTAAGGTTTTTATTGTTTGATTATAAATAAAAGATTTCCGAACAGAAAATTAATTTATAGTATGTCAAGAATGTACTGGTGTTTCACGGGATTCCATATGTAGAGAAAACAACTGTCAGTAAGCCCAAACTCTTTCTTCTATACAGGCTGACTACAGACAAAAAAATCTAAGCTGGTTTAAAGGAAAGCTAGGGGGTAATTAGGTGAAACATTCTGCTAAGAATATTACTGTCAGATATAACATACGAGTAAAGATTAAGAGATTCAAAATGACTTGATATTTGGAACATGAGTTTGATATGACATAGGCATATCATGGGAGACCTTTGTGCTATGCTAAGGAGCTTATACGCTCATGTAACACATTTATACATACAAATGAGTAGCCTGCATTTTTTTACAGGTAGCTCTTTATATTGTATGAAAGATAAACTAATATGACAAAGAAAACCATTCCCAAATGTAAATAGAAGTTAAAATGTTCAAAATATAAAAATAACAGTTCTTTTCATTGATAATTAATTCATAAAAAATGGTTTTATAGATGTCTTTGGTAGAGCAGAAAGTATGTACTGTTGTAGCTTTATTCAACCCTCTTGACGTTTTGGGTTTGCCTTGTGTAGGAAAGGAGGAGGTGTCAACTGGTGAGGGATGGCTGGGGCGGGAAGGGAATGAGGAACCTGGGAGGGCAAAGCTCTTGGTTTATCTGGGCTTCTGTGTTAGTTGATTTGATTCAAATCGAACATCTAGTATTCTGATTCATGATACTAATACAATCTCTGCCTCTTTGTTTAGGTCATTCTACTCTCAGAATTACCATTTTCAGTACCGTGGTTACTTTTATTAAAGTTTATGCTTTCTGTTCAGTTTGGATATATTTCCTCAGATTTTCTTATGAAATCCAGATTATCAAATTTACTAGTAAAATTTTCTGTATTAATTTAAAATCATTATAGCTATAGGCTTTCCTTCCTTCTTCCTTCCCTCCTTCCTCTGTTCATCCTCCTCTATCTATCTATCATCTATCTATCTATCTATCTATCTATCTATCTATCTATCATCTATCTATCATCATCTATCATCTATCATCACCTATCTCTATCTATTGATCTATCTATCTATCATCTATCGATCTATTTATCTTTCATCTATCTTGCTTAGCAATATATCAGTTAAGTCTTCATTATCTTCTGGCTAAAAACTCTTTGGGTTCACATGTTGAATTCTCATTTTTATTGTTTTATATGAATTGTGATTATGTTTTATTTTTTAAAATATTTAATTTATTGAAGAAATTTTTGGATTTAAACATGTTTTTATATTTTCTCCACTGTTGTCTGAATATGTTTAAACTATTTATACTTATTGGAGTATATACATACAGAATAAAGACAGACTTTTTATTTTCTAGTTTACTTGGTCACCACTCTTGAAAATCTTCCATGAAAACACTTTCTGTTTGTATAGTCTAACACTCATTATAAAAATAACTAATTCATTCTCGATAAGTATACTATTGAAACTGACATTTCCCCTTCATTTTTCAAATATTAAGAATGAATAGTAAAAAGAAGGCAGAATGTGACTGTGGATTTGTCAATTTTAGATCCAGTCCTAATAGTTTCTGCCTCATATTATATTGCTATGCACTTGGTTTGCATAACTTTAAGTTTAATATGTAGTGCCTTGAGTTTTATCTTATCTAATGTTAATATTATAAACTACATATTCTTTGGTATTTTCTCCTAAATGATTGCTTATCTTAAAAATAATTCACCCTTAATTTCAAGTCCTTAATCCTTTATTTACATATTCAAAAAAAATTTTTTTTTTTATTCTTACCCAAGGACTTTTTTGCATTTATCTTCAGATAGAGCGGGAGGGAGAGAAGGAAGAAGAGAGAAACACTGATGTGAGAGAGACACATCAACTGGCTGCCACCCACACAACCCCAACCAGGACTGGGGACAAACTGAAACTGAGATACGTGTCCTTAGCGGAAATCAAACCCAGGACCCTTTGGTCTGCAGACCAAAGCTCTAACCACTGAGCAAGACCGGCCAGGGCCTTAGTCCTTTAAAATAGCAGTGCTTTGATATACCACTAGGATTTATGCATGTTTTTGCCTATATCTAGAAATTGTATCTCTCAAATCCTCACTCAGTTTACTCTTAATCATGTTTTAGAAATTACCTTCAACATTATCATTTAGGAGGTTTCCTCTAATTTCAGATTAGAATATGTCTAATTCACCTGTTAAAATCATTCAGATTATTGCTTTTCTCTTCAATAACAAACTAAAGATGTAATTTTGAAAATTTTCTCTGCCATGATTTGAATACTGTTTGTTCACTTTTTTTCCTCCACTTAACTAGAATACATGCTCTGTTAGCACAGAGCTGGCCTGTTCTAATCTGTGTGTTGAATACAATGTCTGGCACAAGCTAGGCACCGAATACTCACTAAGTGAGTGGATGGAGATATGAGGACTCATGTGTCTAGTTACTATTCTTATAAACCAGAAAAATAATAAGTGTAATCATGGCTCAACCTTTCCTGAGCCCACAGCAGCAAATTTTATCTCCTTGGAATTGTGCACAAAAACCATTCTTGACTTTATCTTAGACAAATTCTCTGACCTATCTTCTGTCAGTTTCGCCTTCCAACTATATTCAATTACTTAGATTTCTCTAACTGTATTATGATGTGGTCTGTTGGTATACCCCAAAAGTCTCTAGCCCCGCCCGTGACCCCGCCCCCCACATTCCTCTTCTGAGCTTGGGCGATATTATCTTTCTTGAACATTACCAACCCAGTGAGCTGTCACTCTCTCTGCTGCCCAGCCTCTACCCCTCACAGATAATCATTCTGTCCCACCCCTAGCCACTGAGCCTGACATTTGTTTCTTTGATTGAACTTACCACGTGGTCGTAATTATTTGTTAGCATGGTGTTTCTCTTCCCAGGCCTAGTCCTGTCCTTGCAGACAGAATCTCTTCTTTTCATATTAACTCCAAGCACACCCGCAGCAACAAGAGCAGCAACATAAAATGCCCTGGGGGGGGTGCACATATCATGCATGCATGTTTGAATACGTATTCGTAAGGAATTAAGAACACCAAAAATTACAAAACAATGCTTACTCTAAAAATTTTTATTTAAAAATAAATATAGCAGGAACTTAAAACCGTGTGACTGGGGCCTTCAGCCTCTGGCTGGGAGTGCTAAACTCTGTTTCTGGCTCTGTACATGCACCTGGGTATTCCGTTTTTTCAAAAAGTGATTATGCTTTAATATGTTTACAATATTCAGGGAGTAATTATATGTGAATGAGCTTTTCTGTTAGTTACACTTTTTTTCCCCACTTATATTACTTTGCTTTATAAACGTAGAAATTGGGTAACCTTGAATTAGAAGGCAGGCAGACATTTCTTTTAGAATATTTCTATTAGCTTGCTCTTTTTATTTCTATCCTACTATTTTAGCTCTCTACTGATTTAGCATCTATACAATATTTAATAAACCTATTGTCTAAAAACAAGTTAACATTAACCCTTACCTTGCACTGAAATAAACAAGATATATATATTTCTTTCTGCTTTGTTGAAAAAATGAAAGCATGCTACTTAAAAATAAACCACTTCTGTTGTCAAAATCCTGTATTTACCAGAAATCTTCTTGCTCAGGAATATTGCATATTATGTAGGAATATTACACATTTGATTATTGAGAATTTTAAAAATAGAACTTTTTCAATTAGTAACTTTTAATGATACTGTCAAATAAATAAATAGTTTAACTACTTATGCTTGTTCTAAAGCTGTATTTCAATACAATTAACTTAAAAATCCCATTCTTTCAGTGATGCATAAAATGTTCTTTGTTTGTTAACAGAATCTTTATGTCAAAGAAGAATAGGCTATTTCAAGAAATGAGCAAACATTATTCACGTTTCCCAGCATTTTACTGTTTTGTTCATTTAAAGCAGTCTGTTTAATTCATTTCACTACTTTGATGTGCGTCCTGTCTCAGAGACTGTGCCCTCTTTAATAGTTAGTTATGTATATTACCGTGCAACTAAAGCTCTCTTGACTCATTTTTCCTTCTCTTTCTTTTTAACATGCTGCAGTAGCTAACATATTATGGAGAGAAGAAGGTATTACATTCCATCATTTCTTATATTGTTGTGATTATTTTGCTTAATTTTTTAAGTGGATATGTTGACTGTCGGTTTTAATAATTGGCTTTTATTTTGATTCAATATTTTTATTTGATAATATTTCAGCATTTTTTTTGTGTAAACTACTACCATTAAAAATATAAATACTGATCATCAGCATGAATCATAATGGATAATTGATATACCGTCAGGAAATTAAATTGCAATGTATTGAAATACTTTTAAGAGTATAAAAGTAAGTAAAAAAATAAATAAATAAGAGCAACTTTAGTTAAACAAGTCACACAATTAAACCCTTGTTAGGTTAGGAAAAGAAAAATTACAAAAACCATTGCTTTATCTAGGGAATATTATAAATTATTTAACAAAATGGGTTACAACTTTAAGGACCTGGATTCAAATATAGTCTTCATCACTAGGGACTTTTTATGTTATAATCTTCTTTTTTCAAAATAAGAATATTTGTTAATGCTTATAAGGTTATCAGTTCCTTAAATATAGTACACATTCAATAAACAGTATCTATTGTCATTTATTATTGTTTTTGTTATTATTATTATTTTTACTTAATCACAAAGACTGGAAATAAAGTGTTTGACCAGGTACTCAAGTAGCCCATTAATTATGCTTTTATTATATTGTTAGAGAAAGATATGCATATTATCATTGCACTACAGGTAAACAATGGCCCAATTATTATCTTCACAGTCCATCCAAGACAAACTTTCTCTTCCCCAATTACAGCTTCCTACATGAACTGCTGTGAGGGCCATGTCTCATATGATTAAAATAATTGAATTTAGCCATTTCATTTTGTTCTCAAAGATGAAGCATACCACCTCTCTTCCCCTTTTTCTCCCTTGGTACTTGTTGCTTCTTAAATTATTTGTATAAGCTCTTTCAAAGGCTGCTTTATTAAGGATGTCTGGGGTAACCATACCCTCTCCATTCATTCCACTTAGATATTTCCCAGCTGAAATTACAAATTCAACCATTATTAAAATGATCATTGACACATCTGTTGGGCAACATTTCTTTGCACTATCTTCACTCTTGAGAGCAAACAAATATTTCTCTGAGCATTTTAAAAGTTGACTTCATTTTATTATTATAATGTAAGGAATATTACTTAAGGAATCAGAAATCAGGTACCACTGATCTGGCCTCTCTGGTTAATTGCTGGGAAAAAGTGGATGTGTATTTTACCTCACTGAGCCAGATATATCTAACAATACCTGAAATAGAATTGGAATTCTCCTAGTGAATCTGTGACACTTAAATCTTAAAGCATGTGAAATAATTATTCCTTATACATTTGTTTTGTTTAATAACCACCATGAACATGATTTCTTTATGATAATTATTAATATGCAATAATAATATTCTTCAGGCTACCTTCAAAAGTATTGGAGACCTCCATATTAACATCACATTGAGATTTATTATTTGAAACTATTTTTGTCTATTAAAATTAAATTCTGATAGTGTTGAGATAAGCTATTCATTTGCAGATGTGTGTGTGTGTATGCATATATATATATATATATATAATTATACACATGATTCTAAATAGTAGTAATTATTTAGCAAACACAAACTATATTATGGTATAACCTTTGTTTGCTTATTCATTAAATGTGAACTTAACCATGCAGATCAGCATTCTGTTTTCCAGCATACCTTTGGAAGTTCAGGGAATGACTCAAAAGGAATAATTTGAGATAATACCACTTTCACCAATACATATATATAGTGGTCAGATAGCACCCACTTCCTGAAATAATATTGCCTAATGAAGAGCTTGACACAATCACTCTCAAAACATTTCTAGTAAGAATGAAAGAGTGAGTTTTATTTTGGGTGAACTTAATATGAAGATCTTTTTGAGGTGTGATGATAGGATGTTACCCTGTGTGTGAAAAGGTGTTTTAGTTCCAAAGTCATAGATAAAAAAAAAAAAAAAAAAAAACAAGTACATTCATAAATAAAAATCTACCTTTGCCAAGTTTTTCAAGGTGAGAAATGCAGTGTGTACAATCTATTCTTGTCTATGTTTTTTTTAGCTAAAAAAAGATTTCTTTTATATTTAAAAAAGAGATAAATTCAAGATCCTTTGAAAATGAAAAGAATATTATTGATCATAACTTAAATCCAAAAGTAATATAAAATTAAGTCAGAGGAAGACAATTATCATCACAAGATCTCACTGCATTGTAGAATTATAATTTGCTAGACCATAACTTAAATGCTGAACTAATGTAAAATTAAGTTAGAGGAAGACAATTACCACCACAAAATCTCCTATGTTATTGACTTAAATATTCATCTTATAATCAGAAATTAACCAAATTTTATTATTGGTATAAATTACATAAAATATTTTTCTATATAATAAATAATTATATTATCATGATACACTACCATTGTTGAGCCGCTATCCTCAAAGAATTGAGACAAGAATGTGCACTACATTTTTTTCTCAGTCTATTTCATGTATTTAAAGGTGCATTATTGATTAGAAAATCCTCTGGAAAATAATTCTTCCTTAAGAGGTTGCAGGTAATTCTTGCTTATGTCCTCGTTCTGTATAGAAAGAATAACAAAGCAAAAAGAAAGGTCACAGGAACCAACAAATACGGATTACATTCTAGAACCACAATACTCTATTAGATTAACAATCGACCTGGAAAAGATAAAGTACACGTGTCTGACTTCACCAGGGGATGGAAAAAAAACAAAACAGAAAAACCCAGCCTGCGCATGTTCCCAATCTTTACTGTGACTAGAGCAGTGAAGCTTTCTCAGAAGTCAAGAACTTTTGGAATATACCACAATACAAAGCATTCATGAGGAGAGACTGTTAACTGAAACCTACAGGGTCATCGCACTTTCTGGGACTCAGGACCCTGTTACCCTCTCCAATATTATTAACACTTAAGCTGCTGTCTATGTGGGTTATTTTCATCCACTTATATTTATCACATTAGAAATAAATCAAAACATTTAAATGGGTATTTATTAATGTGTTAAAAGTAACCATAATAAACCCATTACATGTAGCCATAAATAACACATTCTTTTTAAAGCTATATTTTCAGAAAACAGTGAGGAGACTCATAATGTTTTACATTTTTCAAATCGTTTAAATGTCTGACTGAATAGGACAGGCCAGGTCCCTGTATCTGCATGTTCATGGAATTGCTGTGACATTACTCTTGACCACCTGTGTCATGCAGCCTGTGCAAAACTGCACTCTGCTTCTGTGACAATCTAATTTGGGAGACTGATATAAAAAAACACAAGTGATATCTTAGTATTATTATGAAGATTGCTTTCACTTTGTAGCTCCACTGAGAGGATCCACTTTGAGACTTGCTCTACTAGGAAATCAATTTGAACTATTAACAGTTTGTGGATTCGTAGCATTGGACATCATAGAAAACTGAAATTCAGCAGTATAGCTCACAGTATGGATTTGAGGGGAATATGAGGACAGTAATCCTATTCAGGGTATATGCATTTCACCAATTGTTTTTTTTTCTTTCTTTCTTTCTTTCCCACTAATGCTTCAAAGAAGAGATCGTATCAGTTATAAAAATGGTGACAGCGATTGTTTCTTGAAATCTTGCTATGTGTCAGTCACTCTGCTAAATGTTTTAATTTCTCCGTCTCATTCAGTTCTTACAACAGCTGTATAAGTATAGTTATTATCTCCAAAGTTAAGATGGGGAAGTTGTGACAGACAGAGTAACTCTGCCCTGGCACCCCAGTTGGTTCTATAGCATGATTTGCCTTAGAGCTGTCTGCATACACAAAATGGAGTTGATCTCTCTTCGTCACATTCCCCTATTACCTCTCAAAAAAAGGTTAGGGCATAGAAACTTAACAGTTATGATGAATATATGCAAGTATGTTATTGTTTTTTACAAATAAAGGAAAAAACAATAATAAATGTCCCCAATGAAAATCTGCATTTGTCTTCAATTACTAACATCTCCATCATCAGGTAACTTATATTGTTCTGTGGGCACCAAATTAATAATAAATGCACATATGTACAATATTATAGCTGCAAAGTTAAAAAACACCGTGCATAATATATTTATATAATATTCTGCTGTCAAATCCTAAATAAAACTTTTGATGGACAAAATGTGGCAAATAATGATAAAATATACCTCTTGTAGGTAGGGAGAGAAGGACTCAAAGGTGACTCTAAAAGATATAGGTAAAATTTTATTCACAGCAGAGTGATTGATGCATAGTTGTTCACTTTATAATAATTATTTTTAGTAATATATTTATATATGGTATTTTGTTGGCATTACTTTTTCATAAACACTAGGAGTCACATTCCTGCTGAAGACAAGTGTATGCAAAAACTAAGCCTTACATAATGATGTCTGTATTTCTTCAATAATTTGTCACCTAAAATGTATTTTATGCTTCATAAAAATGCTGATGTGTGACTCATATTTAAAAAAAAGAAAGAAAAGTGTCTCTCAGATTGGAAGGGTGATTTGAATGGATTAATGGGTTTTAGAAGAAAATACAACTCAGAAATCTCATTAATGCAAGAATACAGTGGAATCCCACTGACTCTGTTGTGTACAGAATATAGTAAAGTAACATAAGAAAGGGCAGGAAGTTTTTCAAGAAAGTTTACAAACAGTCTGGGCTTAGGGTAGTGTCAGGTTCTAATGTCTTCACATTCCTGATTGTGGAGTATAGCTTGCAGCAACTGAAGGAGGGCAGAGATATGTTCATTCAAAAATGTTATGGGCTTTGTAATAATCACCAAACTTACTATGTAACTGACAACTGACCATCACACACCACCTTACTACTTGGTTATGTTCGTAAATTTCAACAACAATCAATGTTAAGTTGATAGTCACTGATTTATAACACACATCAAACTTAGGTTAATGTTTTGGAAGCTTACTGATACAAATCAATTTTTTGCATAAAAACAGGTACGTGTTTTTCTTCTTTTAAATTTTATCCATTGGACTTGGAATTTATAGTCTTTTATGCACAAATATAATTATAAAGATTAGCTGACAACTACTAAGTTTTCTATTTTTTTTATAAAATATGACTTGAATCTAGTTCTTACCACTGTAATGTAGTACTCTTTGGACTTAAAATGTTTAATTGTCTGATAAAAATTGCACATTTTAAAATATAAGTACTTTAAAACATTTATAAAACAATAAAGATTTTTTGAAATAATCTGGAGTCATTTAAAATGTATATGTATGATAGATAGAAATAATTGTATGTGCTAGAAGACAATTATAAGATAATTATTAAGACAGTCGTATTTATGTTTGAATACCTTTTATTTTATTTATTTATTATTTGTTTTATCCTCACCCGAGGACATTTTTTCTAATTTTTGTTCAGATAGAGTGGGAGGGAGAGAGAGGATGAGAGAGAGAGAGAGAGAAACATTGATGTGAAAGGGACACATCGAGTGGCTGCCACCTGCCCTATCAACCAGGGCCGGGGCCAAACTGCAACTGAGGAACACGCCCTTAGCAGGAACCGAACCCGGGTCTCTCTGGACCACAGGCCGACACTCTAACCACTGAGCCAAACAGGCCGGGGCAATACCTTTTCTTTTAAATAATAAAAATAGATGGACATATGGCTGGATGGACTAAATTGTTGACTCTTTACACTAAGAACAAATTTAATAAGAATGACTGTCTTAAGTTGAAGAAACAAATAATTTTACAAATCACTACATTTTCATTGCACTCCTCAGGCTAGACTTAATGGATCTTTTCAATTGAAATAAAAATGTTTAGGGAAATTTTTGTATTTAAATAATTATCCTTCTCTTTATAGATGATTTTAGAATGTAAACATTTTAAGCAACAATGGTTTGGCTTTCAAACTACCAAGATTTCTATATCATTGCTTAGCATCTAAAGAACACATGCTATCGCTGAATCATGCAAGGTGCAGTTAGACTGGATAAAGATGATTGTGGAAATCATCACAACCAGGAAAAAAAGCTGCTCAGGTTAGGATCTGACAAGGAAAGACTACACGTGGGTAGTCTGGACGTGCTGGAATGAGGCAGCAGAGGAAATGGAGAGCAGGGGTAAGCATATGTGGAAGGGGCAGGCCTCAGTTAACCCTGACTGCATTCCAGGAATCTCATCGCAGTGTCCTGCACCGGTTACGTCTGATTGATCAAGTGATACAAAATTCTGAGAGGTTGCCCGGTCGGTGTGGCTCAGTGGCTGAGTGTGGACCCATGCACTAAGAGGTCACTGGTTCGATTCCCAGTCAGGGCACATGCCCAGGTTGTGGGCCCAATCCCCAGTGGGGGGCATGCAGGAGGCGGCCAATCAATGTTCTCTCTCATCAATGTTTCTATCTCTCTCTCCCTTTCCCTTCTTCTTTCTCTAAAACCAATAAAGGAAAAAAAAATTAAAAAAAAAATTCTGAGATGTCACACATTGAGATCTCTAGTGTGAAACAAAATAAAAGTATGATTTAAGTTAGTACACTGAGGTTTTGTCTAAAACCTTGAATTAATTCAAGTTTTTAAGTATAGAAACAGACCCCAAATACTGCCAGTATAAAAAATGATATAGCCCTGGCCGGTTTGGCTCAGCAGTTGGAGTGTCGGCCTGCGGTCCAGAGAGACCCAGGTTCGGTTCCCGCTAAGGGCACGTACCCCGGTTGCAGTTTGTCCCCGGCCCTGGTCGGTTGTGCGGGTGGCAGCCACTCGATGTGTCCCTTCACATCGATGTTTCTCTCTATCTCTCTGTTCCTCTCTCTCCCTCCCACTCTACCTGAACAAAAAATGGAAAAATGTCCTCGGGTGAGAATAAAAAAAAAAAAAATGATATATAAGTCTTCTATGTTGGAGTATAGTTTTGGAAAATATATATTCTCTGAAATCTAGAGAATTGTTCTTTTTGTTTCAAAAGTTGTTATGTAAACTAGATTCCTACAAAGAATGCAATTTTATTTCCTCTAGGGAACTCGAATAAAAGTACTGCAATCAGTACAATTCTTTAAAAGGTACTTTTATTCCTTAACAACTAAGTTAACTGGAGAAGGTAGTACACATAATCTATGTATCAAAAAATTTATTTTTATTTATATTTATTCCAAATATATGACAAATGGATTATATTTTAAAAAGCATTGAATTGCAGACTGGGGAGGATAAGGTTGACGGGGCCTTCGGTGAACCTTAGGGTTTGCTTTACGCATTGATCGGTCAGCAACACGAGGAGCACTGAGTATTGGCTGAAAAGTATTCTGATAAATTAATTTTGAACTTGTGAATGTGCTTCTATTTCTAAGGTCTGGGAATTGGAAACATGTTCTATGTTTTTTATGAAGATGGAATCAAAGTGATACAACCCATAGAGTGTGAATTTCAGAGGCACATTAAGCCTAGTGAAAAGCTCCTTGGATTTCAGGCAAGTGGCTTAATAATTTCTTTTCATTTTTATGCTTCAATTTTGTTAAGTAGCATTATATTTGGGAAATACAGTGAAATATATACATATATGAGATGTGTTGGGAAGAAAAGATTAAAACTGTGATACTGGCTGTTATTTATGCAGGTTTTATATTTGAGGCAAAATAATATATTATTTATTCCTATTTACTTGTCTGTAATTAAAATAAAAGCAATGGAAGCAAAATACAAAAATTGAATACAACACAATAAGTTCTCCTGCTCTTTAATTTATTACATTTCCAATCTTGAGAAACGATGTTCCCTTTAACAAATGAAAGAAAATAGCGTGTATATAATCTCGTGGGGAATTGGGGTATAGTCAATGCTTTATAAATGTAGGTTTCCTCTTACTCTTCATCTCATTTTTTTCACGAGGTCTTGTGAAATGAACAATTTAGATTTACTTAGAAAATATAATTTATTAATGTGTACCTTATATGATTTATATATATTAAGGGCTATTTTTGCAAGATAGTAAGAAATCATAATTATTTTTATACCACAATAGTGATCTATAACTCCACATAAATATGTGTAGACCAAAACATGTAACAGTAAAGGTATCTATGTTACTGTATGTTCCCACACAAGTTCAGACATACACCAAACACCCAAAATTAGATAAATTATTGGAAGACCTCATCATGTAACCCTCTCTTTATACTCATTTTTAAGGTTGTCATGACCGTCAAATATGAGTAAAATAGATATTAATGCCATGGTTTAGAGCTTTTATTTTCAACTCTTATTTCCAGCCTACTAGTTGTCAGTGTTGTTGTTGAATATTGATATATGGAAGTGGGCCAAACTAGGTTTACAGTCAAAACAAATAAATTACACAATAACTAATAAATAATAATGCAAGGATAAACTCTGTGTTTCAATAGCTCACAACTGTAAACCTACTCTTGCCAACCCTGTATAGAAATGACAATTTATACCCTGAAGTCATAAAATGAGAAGAAAGAAATTGTGAGAGTGAGAAAAAATAGGTCAGCTTCCCTCCTGATATTCTGTAGGACACAGTAATTTAATGACCTCTTAATTTAAATAAAGGGAATAATTTAACTCAATATATCTGTGATTATTTAAAATACATAAAACCATTCTAATTTAAAATATCTTACTTATAGGGTAAATTCTAAATAGTATCGTTACCATTTTTAATCTGTAGTTTACAAATAAGAAAACATTTAAAATTATACATGCAATTTTATTTAGTTGTATTATTATACCATTTTAATACTAAATAAATCCATTTTGAATAAGGTGTGTATGTGTGTACATGTGTAAATAAATAGATATATAAAAATATAAATATTTATTTTTGATATGGCAAATCATTCAATTTTGTACCCCATTCATATTTTTATAAAAGCATTATGGATTGGAAATCTGGGCTAACACACAGGTATAAAAAAATGTGGCATCAAATTATTATTTATTTATGTTTTCCTTTATTGAAGTTTTAGAAAAGAAGGGAGAGGGAGAGAGAGATATCGATGAGAGAGAACATCAATTGGCCGCCTCCTGCATACCCCCCACTGGGGATTGGACCCAAAACCTGGGCATGTACCCTGACCAGGAATCGAACTGATGACCTCTTGGTGCATGGATCAATGCTCAACCACTGAGCCACACCGGCAGGGCTCAAATTATTATTTAAATGAAAGCAAAATAATTCGACAGGAGAGTTTCTCTCTGATTCCTACAGGACCAGCAGTTTTGTAGCTAATGGACACTGATGTGTTCATTATGTCACAGACATAGAAACTTCAGTTACTAATATAATAAATTAATCTGCAAAATCCATATTTTCATCACAAAATGTCACCTCATGAATTTGGTTTATGAATTTAGAGACAAAGAATCTTCTTCCAGCATTACCTGTGTGCTGTCTCGAGTATCAGTAAATGCTTCAACACCATCGACTCATGCCTTGAAGAATGTGCTTTTCCAGAACATTTTTCAATCACTGTAGATAAGTTAATTTTGCTATTTGCAATGTAAAGATAAAAAAAACAAGCAAAGCCCAGCGGGTGTGGCTCAGTGGTTGAGCATCGACCCATGCACCAAGAGGTCACCAGTTCGATTCCCAGTCAGGGCTCATGCCCTGGTTGTGGGACTGATCCCCAGTGGGGGGCATGAAGGAGGCGGCCAATCCATGTTCTCTCTCAAATTGATATTTCTCTCTCTCCCTCTCCCTTACTCTTTCTCTAAAATCAATAAGAAAAAAAAATTTTTTTTTAAATCAACCAAAAACTTGATGTGAGCTTGTGATAGATATGTCTGGACAAGAGGGACGTGAAGTTTACTTAGTTGAATTTCTTTCTTTTTAAAGCCTTTAGGTACTTAGACTTCCTCCTAAAGCATCTACAGTAGAAATTATATAGAATTATGTTTATTTATATATCTCTATATACCTGAGTATATACAGATAAAAATAATATATATGTGTGTGTAAATTATATATAAATTTCTACAGAAAATAAAAAATTGAATAGGAAGTAGAAACCAAACACCAATGATTATAGCCCTAACTCATTTTTCTCAGACTGAGAATCTTTATCCACAACCTTTGTCACATCAGCAGTGACAAAGCAAGGGAAATTAGTTATTAAGAACTGATTTACTGCATCAGGTTTCGTGAGTCATATCTCCTGGAGATCTTACAATCATTCTACATATGAGATTATGCAGAAATACATATTGTAAAATAAAAAAGATATATAAGAATAGAAAAGTAGCATTCTTATATTACATGAAATAAAAATTTACTAAAATTTCTATGGTCTTATGGAAAAGTAAGAAAAAAAGACTAAGAAAAATCAAGTTTGTATTTTAAGAAGAGAGCAATAATTAGTGTGTTTGTGTTTAAATTTATAAAATTTCTACTGCTTTGGATATTGAAATTAATATACAAGACTATTTCAACTAACCAATATATATTTTAAAGCACTAAGAATAATATAGAGAATAGTGAATTGATTAAAACCATGATATCCCACTTATAATTGTTAAATGTAGAATATAGAAGCATTTGTTTACACCATATATATATGTGTGTGTGAGTGTGTGTGTGTGTGTGTATTTCTTTTGTAAATATTCTAGTCTGTTTATATGAAATAAAGGGTAGAATAGATAAACTTTTATTTCATATTGTTTTATTTTTTATTCCTTATTGTGAGATAAGCTTAAATAATTAGACTATGTATGAAGAGACACTTTCGTGATATACAAGATTATAGTAGTAGAAAAAAGAAGAAATTGATCATGTTATGCTTTGAGACTAAATGTTGAGCAAAATAATTACTTCTTATTTGAACTTATTTTGTTTTCTATGTTTAAACATGAAAGATTTCAATTCTAGAGTATGAAAGCTATTTGGTGTAATATTCCACTAGATTTAAGTGTTTAATTATAAAATAATTTTATGAGAAAATTGTTGAGTATTAAGTGAGAAGAACATTTTTTTGTTCTAAACAGAACCAATAGGATTATTTATATCTATATGTTTATCTGCATTTGTCTCTTTGTGTCTATGCCTTTAACTGGCTCAGATGGTGGTGGGTAGGTGGCATGTTTGAAATTTGTAGGGCAAGCCAGCCAACAAGAAAATCAGATAAGAGTTGATGTTGTAGTCTTGAGTCTCTGATCCACAGGTAAGGTCAACAGACTGGAAATTCAGACACAAATTGCTGTTACAGTCTTGAGTCTGAAATCTGTCGGCAGACTGAAAACTCAAGTAGTATTTCTATGTTAAAGTTTGAGGCAGAATTACTTCTTTGGGAAATCTCATTCTTAAATCTTAAAGCCTTCAACTGACTGGATCAGGCTCACTCACCTTAGGGAGGGTGATATGATTTATTTAAAGTCAACTAATTGTAAACATTAATCACCTTCACAAAGACATCTAAAAGAGTGCTTGACCAAACAACTGGGTACCATAGTCTATTTGACATATAAAATTAACCATCACATCTTACTATCTGGTTTAGTCAAGGACCTTGTTTGATTAGTGTTAGTATTCCCGACACGCTTAGTACAGTGTCTTACACATGGCAGGTGGTCAAGTAACACTTGTTAAATGAATTTAGTAAAAATCTCTGGGGCTCTTTATTCTTCTTTGCATCCTCTAAGTTTAAAAATGTATACATCTGATTTTTTCCTTACTGCACTACTTATTTTACAATTCCCACAAAATAGTGTTCTTCTACTGTGTTTTAGAAAAATGTTTCATAGAATCATTTATCATTTCATTGTTTCAAGTAAATATAATCTCATGAGTCTGTTAATTCAGGATAACATAGTCAGAATGTACTGTGCAGATACTCTGTATAAGATAGTTGGAAGTTCCATTATATAAAAAAAAAAAAGATTTGTTCCTTTAGCCCAGCTGGTGTGACTCAGTGGATTGAATGTCATCCCATGGGCTGAGATGACCGGGTTCAATTCCCGGTCAGGGCACATACTGGGGTTGCAGGCTTGATCTCAGTGGGGGGCATTCAGGAGGTAGCCGGTTTATATTTCCATCTCTCTCTTCCTTCCTCTCAATCTAAAAAATCAATTGAAACCCTTTTTTTTTTTTTTAAGTTAGGTCATTTGGCTTTTAGAAGATAAATCTGGAGTGCAAGTAATGGAAAAGAATCTTTTGCGAACATGTTTTTTCCCCGAAAAAGGATTATATTTTTCAAATTCGTTGTTGATATTAAGAGAATAGAAGTGCAATTCCAAAAATAACTCACTGACCAGTTAAGTTAGATAAAAAATGAAATGTTTAGAATATAGAATCTTCCATCAAACCTTTCAGAAGATGCTGTTTGCTTGCTCAAAATAAAAATTCAATTTTGGTGCAATGTCAAATTGCATCAGGTTTCAGCTTCTGCGAGTGAGTTAGTAAGAATTTGTACAACATGGTTTCAGTTATACTTTCATCTTTTTTGTTATATTGCCTTA